GACGATCCATCTGAGTCAGTGGTGTGTGTTGTGGAAGGCCAGCTGTGCTGGCTCGTCCCGCAGCCCTGCTGGGCTGAGGGGACACATTGTGCCCAGGAGTCCACTTCTTACCCCGCTCACTTCCCCCAGCGCTCCTGTGGTGGAGTTGCTTTTGTACTTTTGTCAAAAATCAGTTGGTTTTTCTTGTGTGGATATATTTTGGGTTCTCCATTTTGTTCCCCGTTTTGTTCTCTGTTTTGTTCTCTTGATTGACATGTCTGTCCCTGGGCCAGAGCCATGCAGTCTTGTTTTTCATAGCCATATAATCAGCCTTGAAGTTGAGTAGAGTGGCCTCTCCCACTTTTTTTCCTGTTTTCAAAATTATTTCAGCTATGTTTCCTTCCTTCACCTTCCTGTATAAATTTTAGGGTAATCTTTGGATCCACAAAAATCATTTTTGAAATTTAGCTAGGAATTGTGTGAAATCTGCACATCAGCTTTACAATGTTGTGGCTTCTAGGGGTGTTTCTCTATTTATTTAAATTTTGATTTTTATCATCAGCTTTTTATATTTTTTAGTGTACACGTATGGTATATGTTTTGTTCTATTAACACCTAAGTATTCCATTTTTATTTAATGACTCTGAATGCTTAGCGATTTTAACATGGTCGTTGTTACAAGTACAATTGATTTTTTATGTTAATCTTTAACCTGTGACCTCATTGACCTCATTTGTAATTCTAGGAGTTATTTTTTATTTAACTTTTTATTGTTGCTCTTGCACATTCTCAAATAGAGTTAGTTTTATTTTTTGCTTTCTTATCTGTATGCTTTTAGTATTTTCTTTCTGTCTTGCTATGCTGGCTACAACTCCCAGTACTATGTTGAATAATAGCAATAGTGAGAGAAGACATTTTTGACTTGTTCCTGATCATAAGGGGGGAAAAAAGCATTCAGTCTTTACCATTAAATACAATATTAGCTGTAGGTGTTTTCAAATGTTCTTTATCAGGCAGATCTAACTCCCTTCTATTATTATTTTTTCTGAGAGCTTTTATTACTAATGGGTGTCAAATTTTTTCAAGTCTACATTCTGCATAACTGTATTCGATTACATTAATCTAATGGATTGGTTTGACTGATGTGTGAATATGGGACAAGTCTTGTATCCCTGAATTAACTCCACTTGGTCAGAGTGCATAATTGTTTTTACATAATGGTGAATTCAATTTGCTAATAGTTTGTGAAGGATGTTGCATTTGTATTCATGAGGGGTATTGATCTGTAGTTTATTTTTACAGTCTTTGCCTGGTTTTAGGATTAGGGTGATACTAGAGTCATAAAATGAATGGAAAGCATTCTGTCGTTTATTTTCTGGAGGACAGTGTATAGAATGGGTGCTATTCTTCTCTAATCCTGCTGTGGGATTCTCCAGGGAGCGTCTCTGGGCCTGGACATCTTTTTGGAGAGTTTTAAATTATGAATTCAGTTTCCTTAGACGTTATGGGGCTATTTAAATGACCTCTTTCAAATTGAGTGAATTATGGTAGCTTTTGCTTTTTGAGGAATTGGTCCATACCATCTAAGTTGTCAAATTTATGTGTAAAGAGTGTTTCGTGGTACCCCCTAACTTTTCTGATACCTGCAGGGTCTGTAGTAATAGTACCTGTGTTATTCCTGGTAGCAGTAATCAGTGCCTGCCTTTTTTGCTTTGACAGTCTTGTCAGAGGTTGGTCAGTTTAGTAGATCTTTTTGTTTCATTGAATTTCTCTATTGTTTTTCTGTTTTAATTACATTAGTTTTTGCTCTTGTCTTTATTAGCTCCTTTCTTTTACTTGTTTTGTAATTGCTCTCTCTTATCTCTTTTCTCGAGGGTAGTATCTGATATTTTAAATTTTTAGACTTTCCTAAGGTAAGCATTTACTGCTACAAATGTCCCTCTTACTACATGGCTGTCTCACAAATTTTGATGTTATATTTTCATTTCCATGCATTTCCATTGTGTGTGTGTGTGTGTGTGTGTGTGTGTGTGTGTTTAACTCTCCCATGAGATGCCCTCTTTGACCTCCTGAATTATTTAGAAGTGTTTTTTATTTCCTTTCCAAGTGCTTGGACATTTTCTTTTTATCTCTTTGTTTTTGATTTTTAGCTTGATTCCACTGTGGTCAAAGAAAGTGAATGGGAAGGATCGGCTGGAATGCACTGCACAGTTTCACTTCTAAATTTGTTGAGGTTCATTTCTGACTCAGTATGGTCTGTCTTGGTGTATTTTCCATGTATAGTGGCTACGATGTCACTAGCTGATAGGAGTGGTTCAGCTTCATTATAATGTTATGAGACCTCAGTCGTACATGTATTTTGTCATTGACCAGTGCGTTGTTATGTGGTGCATGGGTGCGTGGCTCTGTATAAACATAGGAATATACATATATGTATATATAATAATAGTAATATGTACACATATACACATGCATGTATGAACATACACATATAATATCTACATAACAAATGTGTATAATACATAATTTTATAATATATATATTGCTTATTCTATATGTTATATTTCATATTTATATTATACATTACATTTATTTATCACCTTAATGATAAAGGTAAACATATTTGATTAAAATCTCCAAAATGCACTAACATGACAATTATGGTTTAATTCATATATAAATCCTTTGAAAATGATACCAAAAATGTAATTCCTCACGGGAGGGTACAAAATATAGATTGCTCTATGTACATGCCTGTTATACATTCAGTTTGGCAACTGTTTCTTGTAGATCTGCTCTGTTCTGAGCACATTCTGGGTGTTCTGTAAGATAATGGCGTGTGTGAACCAGATGGGAGTATGGGCATTATTCACTATATTGCTAGAAACATTAATAAGGATCAAAACAAATGAAGGGAGTATGTGAATATTAACATTTAGAGGAAGAAAATTCCAGTAAGACACAAAGGTATCCAAACAGTCTGTTGGTGGAAATTAAGATGAGCTTTGAAAACAATGTGCCTCATTTTGGTGGATGTTCAAGAGCTGGAAGATCATGTTAGATAGAAGAAAAGGTTACATGAGTAAAGGCTTAGAAGAAACGTAGACTGTTGCATTGGAACGATCACAACAGGAACAGCCTGACAATGTGACTGTAATGGGGCAGGTTCAAGTCCACGAGTGACTGGTGCCAAGTCCGCCGTGCGGGGCGGAGGAGGGAGGCAGGACCTACTGGGGAAGACCGACCTTTTGTTTGCTCCTGGGCTCCTGCCAGCCGCACCCCTTAGGGACGCTCCACCCTGCGATGCTCCCATCACTGCACAGGCCATGGACAGTCTCTGCCAGCTCCCGCATCTGGAAGTGCTATAAGGAGAATTATGGCTTAGAGACATGGGTAGCGGTGCCAGGGGGGATGGTTTTGCCGCCGTCATTGCAGTAACCCAGGTGGAAGCGGCACAGCAGTGTGTGTCCTCCTCCAACACTGTATCTTACCGTCTTCAATATTGGCAGCAGAACAACAGAGATACAATTTGCCAGGTGCCTGTATTTCAGGCAACACTCTACTCAGTAGCATCCTGTGTTTTCCTGTTGAGTTTTCCCAACTCCTGAGGGGCTATGACTGCCTCTCTAGGGGGTGCGGGGGCACTTCCAACATCCCATAGCCAGGACTTGAGCTCAGGACCTTGACATTGCACAGCCCTGTCAGCTCTGTGCCTAGTGTGGTGACGGTGAAGCCACAGGCACTCAGTGTCCTTGCTGACTTCAGAGCTTGAGTGGTGGCTGAGGCAGCTCTTGCTTCTCTTTACTCAGTTTATCACACACAAGGCAGCCTGGACAGTATGATGACGTAACGCCCTGGTGCTGTGGAAACAGGATGCACATCGCTTCCCCTTCTCCATTCAGGCAGGGACCCACCAGACCTTCTATTTAGAGTCCCGGGGCCTGGAGAGCATAGGAGCAGCTCCCATCCGTCAGTAGACAGTGAAGAAACTGGCCCTGATTCACGTTCCGAGCTAACACGTAACCACGCTGCTGATTACCCATTTTCATTGTTTATGGCGAGGCAGGTGGATGAACAACTCCGTCTGATTTATGAAGTGCTTGCCTTCTGTAAATCACAGACTAGGAACCCAGCATGCTGCTAATCCTGATTGGTTAAGTCCTAAGTAAGAAGTGATTAGAAGGTCTTCAGGAAAGGTAACTCATGCAAATGAGGGAGAGACACCATTCTTTGCAAGGAAAGTTGCCTTGTTCAAAATATATAGTCAAGCTTTGTTGTCTGATCCTCTGGCCCATCAGATCTCTTGCTGGGCATTCCCCACTCTTCCTCCTCTTGTGAATAAGCTGAAGGGAGCAGGAGAGATGGGTGGGGGAGCACAAACATAGCAGAGAAAGCTCTTCTCCTGCTTGCTCGCTCGTTTAATCAACCTGGATTAATTTTCTAAATTCCAATAAACCATTCATCACGATGAAGGAAAGGTATGCCATAGGCTCCTCATGCTGTGAGCTTGGGAGACATGAGGGATTTTGAGTGCTGCCTGCCCAAATTCCAGTCCTGCCGTCCCCTGGGAGTGGGTGACGCAGTAATGGCAGGCCTGCATGGGGGCCACCTCTGGTCACTTGCTGTGAGCCTGAAAGGACCCTGAAGATCTGCCCACATCTCCTGACTGCAGACCTCCTGATTGGACTTAGACGTGCAGACTCTGCTGGCAAAGGAAGAAGGAAGCCCCGGTCGATTTCATGTGATTTCCTTCCTCTGTCGACGGTAGTGGTCGAGAACAGGGCACTGTGCATGCCACGCAGTTAAAGGGGCCGAGACTCTTGAATTTCATACTCAGAGAAGATGAGCCCTCTCTCCTTTCTAACTTCCTTTAACTGTTCCTTCCTGTGGGTAACTTTTCATTTCCTCTTCCTCTCTCCATGTCCCTTTTCTGTGTTCCCTCCCCTCTGTATGTGTCCTACATGTTTCCTCCCTTCCTTCTTCTCCTTTCTTTCTTGTCCATGTATCACGGGGACCCACAGCAGACGCAGGAGCAGCAGCATCGCCTCAGAACTGGACGATGAGCCCCCGTGCATGGAGGAGATCGATTATGGTACAGACAGCAGCTCAGACCAGGAGGGGAGCGTCTCTGAGCTGGACCAGCAGATGCGCGAGTGGGCCTCCCACAAGGACGAGGGAGAGGAAGAGGAGGAGGGCCCAGGACAGGGAAGAAGAGCCGCCTTGTAGCCCCGAGGTTCATGACAGGTTCCATGCCTGCAACCATTGGACTAGCAGCAGTGTTGTTTCTTCCCCATCAGACATGTATACAGTGTTGATGCAGGAAGCCAGCCCATGTGAGATTTTTCTCAGCAACTCTGTGTCCAGATTTTGTTCTGTTCTCTCTAAGCGTGGAGGCTGGTTACTTTGTAATTGTATTCTCTTCAATGCATAGTTCACAGAACAAAACTTCGTCATAATTTAGACCCAACACCTAGGAACAAGACATGGGTACTGTGATGTGCAGTTATTATTGCTATGGATAGTACCTTCTTTTTCCCACTCTTTTCCAAATTTCTTTGCTGCAGTTCAGCAATCCCACGTCCGTCCTTTGTATTAAGGCACTCAGATTTCCGGAGCATACATAAGAGGTTTAAGGGAAATAACACAGTTCAGATCCAAGCTGACAGCATCCCTCAGCTCATCCCACAGGCGTTATTTCCACTCTCACATGGAAGATAAGATAGCGTAATGCTTCTGTTGTTTTCACTGATTTGTAAAGTCAAGAAGATAATATTATTAAAAATGTAAATCCTGGGAGGGACAGAAATAATGCTAATTCATGGTTACCACTTTGCACCTTGGCTCAAATTAGTTCGTGGTATTATCTTTTAGTCATCTAACATTTCTGGGAGAAAGTGACCAGCACGAGAAAATGTCTATTTGGCGTGGTCAGCAGAAGCCTGAAACATGGACTATTTATTAATCCATCTATGTGACAAATAAATATTATGCCCCTGCCACGTGTCATGCATTTTACTAAACTCTGCCGCTGCAGAGAGAAAAGACCTACTTTGTGCCCTCAAGTTGCTCACAGTTCAGTGGGAGAGAGACACACACACACAAAAACACTTTGTTCCAATACAGCAGCACCTTCCATTGTGGAGCTGAACAGGATACCACAGGGTCACCTGCTGCAATGGAGGAGAAGTCTCCCAAGAAAAGATGATAAGTTAGGTGATGCTTGAAGGATGCATAAGAGTTTCCTGGTTAAAAACAAAACAAAACAAAACAAAAATGCAAAAACATGCTAGGAATTGGAAGGAATTTGTGCAAATGCCCTGTGATAGGGTTGGCGCTGGGAATAAAGTGTTCAGTGTGACTGGTTTAAAAGGTGTGACTGCAAGAGGGGAGAGGAGGAGCGTGACGGGCGTTGAAGTGGAGAAGACGGATGTCGACCTGCTCTAGCACGTTGGATGTGCCTCGATGAGAAGGCTGAGCCTGGTTCTGACTGTGCCAGCGGGACAGGCCGTCCAGTTGAGGAGTGCCCAGGCCCGGGGTCCGGAGACCTGTGTCCGTGTGAGTGCCGGTGCCTGTGACCGACGGGTGCCTTGCTGCACGGGCTGCTCAGTAGTCAGGATTGTCCTTCCCGGGTGTGGCATTACCCAAGCTGAAGAGCAGCAGGTTCGTGCTGACTTGAGAGATGCTGAGGGTAGTTTGAGGTCATGTTGCGTGTTGGGGGTCAACCAGATGCCTAGATGGAGAGGACCCCCTGAACCAGAGTGACATCAGGAAGAGAAGTAGAAAAAGGAAAGACGTATCGAGTGAGCTGGGGACCTGGCCACTGAGCCCAGGTCCCAGTCAACTGAGAAGGCATTTCTTGGAGGGAGTGGGGGTGGGAGAGAGGGCAGACTTCTGTCCTTTCCCGCTGGGTTTTGAAGGCTGTTCTGTGTCATACCTCATGAGTCTTCAGTCTGGACGTGGGGAAGGTGCCCTCACAAGTCAACTCCAGCTAGTCCTTGGACCAGCTCTTCCAACCCACCCCGCGGCCTCTCTTGGTGGCCACACCACACTGTGGTGGAGTGTTCTGAAAAATGGGTCCTACCAAACGCAGGGCCATGTGAGATTGCACGAGGATGTCAGGAAGTTGTCAGCTGTCACGGGAAGCATATGTGGTTCAAAGTGTGCAGAGGGGATGAGAGTCTAGGGGCATGACGTTGGGACCAGCCCCTGTGCACGGCTGTCCTTTCCCAGCCGGTGTCTGGTGCTCTGTGAGACAGGGCTAGGGGATGGAGGGACCTGCAGTTCCCCAGGACGACCTTGCGCACCTTCTTTGGTGGACAGATGGGGAGCTCACCTTCTCACCCCTAAGAGGGGTCTGATGTGGGTGGAGAAGCACACGTCTTTTTGTGATCTGCTAAGATCCACAGGTCCATGACCCCCCCGAAGGGTGGCACCTGCTGACTGTCCAGTGGGGCAACACACTGGGCTCTGCATCTCCCGCAGGCGGGAGTCTGGGTTTCTCGCCCAGTCTGCTCACAGTCCGGCCCAGTCTCTGCAGCAGACTCAAGCTCCGCTCTTCTTCCGCCTCTTCTGTTTTCTGAGGGACACGGCTTCATTTCATCTTGTCATCCTCATGAACACACGCGAGTGGGCAAAGACACTGTTGTTGAGCCTGAATGGCCTCTTGGATTTTTCACACCTTCAGGCATTTTCCTCTGACCCTGATAGGCACCTCCATTCCATCATTTGGCGGGGGGTTTCAAACCCAGTTCAAGTATCACCCTTCTTCTGTATAACCTTTTCTAATAACCCCAGCCCAGTTATTTAATTTCTCTTCTGTGTTCCTATTATATACTGTTAATACCTCCCCTTTTATAGCATGCTCACAATGTACAACTTTATGTGTTTTTTACAGCCCTATCCATACCGGCCAATCAGTAGAGAACTCTAAGATGACCAGACCTGCTAGTCTCAGTGTCTCTCTCTCTCTCCCTCTCCCCCCCCCCCATACCTTGGCACATGGAAGGTGCTCAGGGACATCTTCCTAGCCTCAAACCTAGACATCCAGTGTTTTAAGGAAAGCCCACATATCTCCCTTAAATCCTTCCATTTTCCATTGCAAATCTGTTTGTGTGGTAGAAAGTGCAATTGGCTTCCATCAGGGGACACCCAGCATAAGGACAGCCCAGTCTCTCAAGTGGGTGGTTGCCATGGAAGAATATTCCCCGTGTGAGGTGAGCTTGACAAGGAGCAGGGTGGCCTTGTCCTTGCCTGTACCGTGCAAATGTTCAGTTACAGCAGTGAGAACAGAGGAACAGCACGTGTGAGTCCCTGGTGGCTGCAGTATTCGCCTGGAGCGTGAGGCCGTGGGCTTGCTTCAGTGAGAACAGGCACGTGTCCATGTGCATGGTGCCAGCGTTGTGCAGTCCCATCGGTGAGAACCCACGGGCTCCATCCTTTGGCGTCAGTTTCTTCGGGACCTTCAGCACAAGTGTCTGAGCCATAATGAGCATTTGAAAGTAATCTGATGCTTGAGCTTCAAGCTCGCATTGCAGGTTGCCAGTACAGCCAGGCTGCCCCCCTCTCCCCCGCAGAGAAGTTCTCAGGTGCAGCTCCTGTTCCCCAGACTGGGTGACTGAGCTGCAGAGTTGATTTCAGGTTCCCAGGGGAGCCTCTGCCAAAAGAAGGTGCCTCCCTGAGGTGGCCGGCGTCTGTCATCCTTGCTGGGGACTCAGGACGGTGGCCTGCGTGGTGGGTTGGGACCTTAACATGTGCGTCAGAGTGCTGGATTCCTTTCGCCCTGCTGGGACAACCTGCTCCAGCACCCAGAGGTCCCGGTCTTGGAGCGACGTGCAGACAGCCGCCTGAGTACTCCCCTGAGCGCGTTTCGGGCAGAAACAGTTCATTAGGTCTGGAACCTACTGCTGTCTGCCCAGCAGATTTTGTGTTTTGTTTGTGTGACAGTGTGGCTTCATGTGCACCTGACTGATTCTTAATAAAAATGAGTCGTTTAGAAAAAAGAAGGATGAAAAAAATTTTTGACAAAATGAATTGTATTATAACCTTTCAGTACCTAATACTAAAAAAAAAAAAAAAAAAAGGAAAAATCTTCTATTCCACACATTCGAACACAATGGAGTTGAAATTGAACTTGAGTTCCCTAACACACACACACACATGCACGTGCAGTAGGTCCAAGTTTTTAAGCAAGAAAACTGGTGAGGGAAGGTGTATTATCAGGTGCATGTTTATAAAGGCAGGGGTAGCTAGGTGGTGCTTTTATGCCATACTGTCACATGCATCATGTCACACAGGAATCGAGTGGAGCCCTTTGGGGGAGACTCTTGTCACCCGCCTGTGACGTGAACTCGTCGTCTAGCATGTGTATGTTGTAAGCCTGCTCCGGTCATGAAGAAAAATGTGCCAAATATGAACACATACCATGTGCAAGGGTCTCAGACCCTGGCAGGTATTATCACGTTGAAGCTTCACAGTCTGACCCCTGAGGAAAGCCCTCTTGTGCTCCTGCCATCAGGGAGGACGCCGGACGTTTGGGAGGCAAGACTTACCTAAGATTACACAGCTAGCAAATAGCAGGGTCGTGATGTTAACACAGACTGCCTGGCACCTGAGCCTGCGCTCCAAGGAAAAGTGTCTCTTCACAGACTCCCAAGGGCATTTAGGGGACACATAGCAATTCCCTGTCTCTAGGGTGGTAGTTGTGGTTTCCAGTCCTTGGGTCAAATAGAAGCAACTGAACATCCCTACATAAGAGCCCCTGTGCCTTATGTCCCATTTTCAAACTTGACAGGTTCAAGGTCAGGTCCTCATTATATCCTCCCATCGACGTCTCTGCCTCTAAATCCTACGCTTGATCATCCGAATAGAAGTCCGTGTAGTCTCGTTTCTTTGCAAGCCTGATGCCCAGTCTAGTGACTGATCAAGGCAGGCAATTAAATATTCACCAGTTTTGTCAAGCTTCATCCTTAGCTTTGCTTCAGATCCATCCACCACTTGTTCTTGGTTCACTTCTCACCTGGATTTCAGCAATGATTTCCCCCCTGCTCTCCTTGCCTTTTGTTTTTGCTTTTTTCCCAGCCCCTTGTTCCCTGTATGGCCAGGTAATATTTGGAATAAAAATCTGCTTCTATTTCTGCTGCTCAGTGGCTTCCCAGCATCCTAAAGATAAAATGCAAAGGAAACCTGATGCTGGGGCCTTTCCTGTTCCAGCCACTCTTGCTCTCTCGCTTGTACTTGTGTTTCTAATTCCATTCATCATGTGCATAAAAGTATCCTCCTCCAGGTGGTCTTCTGTG